AATTTTTTAAATTTTAATTAGTATTCATGTGGTTTTAAAGAGGCTAATTATTTATATTTCAAAAAACTCAAATTAAAAGAATTATGATTTGTTTTTATATTTAATACTATACAATTATTAATTGAAATTGAAATTAATTATTATATAGTCAGTTTTCTAAGGGCCCAATTATTTTATATTTTTTAAAAAAATTCGCATCTATTTATATAAAGGCAGTTTACCTTACACGGTTATATTTCAATCTATCTCCTAATGCTTTTTTTGTTTTAACGCAAGAGTTAATTGGAAATTAAAAAGGTTTAATTTGAAATTAATTAGCAGTGGTAATTCGAAGATCGTAAGGTGAAAATTTTAGATTTTAAAAAAATCTAAAATTTGCTACTATTGTATAAATTCATTTTTTTAATCTAAAATTTTCAAGCATTGTATAAATTCATTTTTTCCTTCATCCTACATGTATTTGTAAAATTTAAACAATGGTTATAAATCCCAGGCTCTGAAGACGATCTCAATAGAGTTCGAAACGTAGCACGATAAAGAAAATGTTTTTCTAAAACCTATGTCACACCAGTCCGCATCTCACGATCTCCGAATAATCATTAAATAACGGTCACTAAACTATTAATTAAAAATATTTATTCCGGACGAAAAAGAGCTTATTTGAAATTTAAAATTGGTTAATTGACGGAGAAAAGTTACATAAACTTTGAAAAGCGTTTTTCTAATCTCATCACGTACCGTACGGGAGATGGATACTGGGAAGATCATACTGAGAATTTAATTGATGTATTTTGTTGGTTGAGTAGGTGGAGTTTTGAGGCTAAATATTACGGGAATCAAATACCACATCGTCCGCTTTTGATAAAGGCTTAATTGACAGAAAAATCTATCACCGTATTTGATTATATCCTGCTGTAGTGCCATCTGACTATGGATATTTCTGAACAATAGTGAATGTTTTGAAACAACATCAACTCATTGGCTTTTAAACTAATTGATGGTTAATTAAATTTCACACGATCTAACGAATTTTTGAATAAAACAGAAATCAAGGAGATGTACATCTAATTTGGTCGTTAGCCATATCTTGGCCCGCCTATCCTCGCTGTGTTGGTCTGACAGACGGGTTTCATCATTTTGCCATCTTCAGTGTTTGTTCTTGGTGGAAATTTACATGTTGTATGTTTTGCCATTATAAGAGGATCGTATTATGTTGGTGTAGTTTATTAGGTGCGGAATAGATTTTTCAAGCAGTTTTGTATGGGTTCCTCAGAACGAGTCATATTCATCTATGATATAGAACAACAATTCTACGTTTTTTGGAAAAAAAAGTGAAAAATAACTTCAATATTTTGATATTGTATTAATTAATTCCATTTTAATCTCAACTTGAAACATTAATTAATTTAATGGTATTAATTAATCTTTATGTAAGGTATTGGTTGAGATAAAAAAATCAGCGTCACGAGCGGGATTAGAACTCACGTCCTTCGCCTAAATACGCCGCTGCTCTACCTAAGCTGTCGTGACCTTGATCCACTCGGACACTAACTTCCCATCTCAACCCCACCTTCTGTATTTTCCCTCCTTTTTGCCATTTTTCAAATGTCGTGTAATCTATTTGATTCTCGGCGACAAATGAAATGGCCACCTAATGCTTTAGTGAAGATATACTTCATTTAGCTTATTAAATTCATTAGATTTCGTGGTCCAATTGACCAACTAACATCTGTCAATTAATTAATCTTTATGTAAGGTATTGGTTGAGATAAAAAAGTCAGCGTCAGGAGCGGGATTCGAACCCACGACCTTCGGCTAAGTGCGCTGCTGCTCTACCACTTGAGCTATTGTGATGAGCTTCGATCCACTCGGACACTAACTTCCTATCTCAACCCAACCTTTCGAATTTTCCCTCATTTTTGCCATTTTTCATTTGGTCAATCGGACCACGAAATCTAATGAATTTAATATGTATATTAGAGCATCATTATCAAAGTAATATTTAAAAGATCAGGTTTAAATAGGGTAGCCCAGAAACCTTTAAAAAAAGAAAGAAATCGTCTTTGGACGAAAGATAAATAATGCAGAAAGCTTTCGACCTCAAAAAACTTTCTCATTTCTCTCGCGAAATACTACACGGAAAAGGAATTAAGTGACATTTCTACTATCCAACGGCGCCACGCATTTTGTCGGTCAAGTTCGTCCCTACGGCCGGTAAACGGCATCATGACCAGCGTTGTGTGAAAGTAACGCGGTTTCGCTTATGAATGGACACCGGGCTCTGTTGTGGGAAGGCTGGCTACATGATTTCCAATGCACATTTGCACGCCGAGTTCCCATGGCCCTATGACCCAGTGAAATAAGGTATGAATGGATTCAGCGCTAATGAATTAATTGCGAAAACTGCGAATCCTTGCTTCCGGGCCCGAAAGGCCGTGTTCTTTGGGCTGAGAAAATTATGGGTTACAAAATTATCCTCTGACTTTCTTTACACGTATTATTTTCATTATTATACAAAACCATAACAGTTTTTCAATGGAAATGATTGATAAACACGCTAATCTTAGGCGATTCATTGGCACTTTTGGCACGGATGGCCGAATTTGGACAACTACTAGCAAAGGCCATGGACGTTGTATCGACGATTTTAATCAAACTTTTCAAGGTTATCAAACTATGATCTATTCTAGGTCAAAAACTATTAGATACGTACCGGAGCGTACTTTCCAATGAGCCTTAGAAGCCCAGAAATAAATTAAGATAATTTATTTAATTTTTTAACTACGGTTTTCTACTTTTGCTAGTTATGCGTGTATTTGAACGTTATTATTTGATTCTTTTTTATCTAGGTTAAGAAAATAATATGCATGATCGTATTAAATATACAGTGTGTACCAAGAAGAGACGTAAATACATCAGAAGGTTATCTTAGATGTCAAATTGTACTAAAAACTCCCCATTTCTACTCACTTAAGATGGTAATACTTAGTGATCAAAACGTACTCTTTGATACAAAAATGAACATGATTTGTCTCAAATAAATCTAACACAACAATTGAGAACGGCCAAAGCGTTTTTTAATTATTTTTTATTATGTTCGTTAATGGTTATTTAATAGAAGTATCAAAATCGTAACATTTCAATTTTTTTGAACCGTTTGTAACCTAAAAAACAAACTTTTAATCAAATCAACGATAATTTAACTACATGTTTTTCAACTGATGAGTAGCGGTAAACGTACGTAAGACAAGAACTTTGGACGCGCATAAATTTTCTCTACACTGAGAGGCAAAAATTGTTATGAATTGGTAAGTCCAAACAAGGAATATTCTCTAGATCAATTACTCCCTATGAACAATGAAGAGAATGAGAGGTTTGTTAATAATCTTAAAGAGGAATCATTGTATCATATTATATTTTTTAAATTAATCAATCAACGCTATCAACTATGAAGCTTCTGACGACATTTACGTAACGTTTGATGACTACCATAATAACTACTATAAGTATTATTATGTTGTAAAAAATGGCCTTTTTTTCGAGGACGTTCTACTATGAGATTATACGTGTGGTGTTTAGTGACAGTTCGTTAATGATTATTTGTAGATCGTGTGATGCGGTCTGGTGGGACGTAGGTTTTAGAAAAACATTTTTTTTTACGTGCCAACGTTTCGACCTTTTTTGAGATCATCTTCAGGGCTCAAAGTGGTTTTTTTTGCGTGATTGTGCCATTCTTGTGTGTCGTGTTGAGACTTGGCACACTCAACACTTTGAGCCCTGAAGATGATCTCAATGAAGATCGAAACGTTGGCACGATAAAGAAAATGTTTTTCTAAAACCTACGTCACACCAGACCGCATCTCACGATTTCCAAATAATAATTATGAGATTATTGATGCTATGAGATACCCTCGTAGTGCCATTTGTATGTCGGGTTCGTATGCAGGGCTGCTGAATTCGAACCTGGAACCTTTAACGTGTTAACGTCGTGTCAACGCCTTCATTGTTACGGCCACGATGCCACTATTCGATCTTCTTGTTACACGTAAAGCCTAAATATTGTTCAAAAGATCTACTTTTTAGGATATTATTTGTTAACTTTCGTGTTCCTACAGTTACTCTAACTGAAATTGAGTTATTGAAGCCGTTGATGAAGTCGAAGACTTCGATCGCGACCTCGCTACTTACATTACAATAAGATCAGATCTTGAAATTTTATTATATATGTAAGTCTGTTTTTTTTAAATTATAATCTTGATGTATGATACGTTTATGGGTTAGTAGAAATGTGTAGTATATATGGATTTACATATTTCTCCCTTTAATTAAAAGAACAAAAAAGCATCTGTATCACGACTAGTTCTCCTTGGTCTTTGAAGTCCTCAGATGTATTTAACTTAATACCACTAATTTGGAGCTCTTTAAGAAAATTGCCTTTCTAAAACACGACGCTAATCATCAGATAGTGCGAAGGAAATGCATTAATATTAATACGGGTTTCTACTTGAGCGAAAACAAATCCTAATCTCTTTGTTCAAATCTGTGAACACTATTGCGACGACATAGTTCTAAATCACGGTCTTTTCTGAATAAACAGTGAATGGGCGTAACCAAAGCCGAGCATTAGCTCTCGAGGGTTGTTAGCATTTAACTGAGGAGATAAAGCATAAAAATTAATATATGCGTCGTGATAAAGGGCGGAGGATGGTGGTAATTAGGGGGTGAGCACGCCACCACGGCACGCCAGCGATTCCGGCCCCGGTTGATAAAAACTTTACCGTGCCCTTATGGACCGTTTATATCGGCCGGCTTTATTATTTCGAGCTTTCTTTTCGAGTTCGTCTTCATAGGCGATCTTTTTTTTTTTTTTTTTTGTATTTTTTTTACATACCCAACTCATTCTGGAAGATTTTTATTTTTAATGACGGAAAATTATTTTCACCGACCCAGTTACGGGACGAACCGCGATACGCCCCGGAGGAGTAAGCCACGTCGGAGAGGGGATCGGCGAGCCTCGTAGAAAGGAAGACGAAAAACAGAACGATTCTGTTGTCAGTGGTGTGCGTGTGGTTCGCGAGGATAGCTCGGTGATAACATACATCATATGGTAAGACGATTCCGCTCCAAAACAACAAGAATTTCCTGTATTAACAAAGCCCTACAATTTATTTACAGATTAATTTTATTAACCATCATATAAATCCTCCAATAAACGTAACAACTATACACTATTTTGACTTAAGTTCATCCAATTTACATAACTGGACAAGAAAAAAAACTCTTTCAATTTTACTTATATCCACAAAATATGCCAGTAGCTTCATAGTTAATAACGTTATTTTGATTTATTAAAAAAAATTATAACACATCATGTTAGTGTTTGTAGTAAGATTCTGCTCAAAGCTAGGAAAATCTCTCATACTGTTTAATTTATTCACAGTTTCATCTAAATAATACCATAAGCAGATTTCACATAAGATCAGTCAATTTACATAGTCGAACAACAACCCCCTCCCCAAAAAAAAAACCCTCTTTCACACAGTTTTACTTATATCAACAAAATATGTCAGTAGCTTGACAGTTAATAAAGTTATTTTGATTAATTAAAAAAAAAGTATAACACATCATAGTAATGTTTGTAGTATGATTCAGCTCAAAGCTAGAAAAATACTATCTCTCATATTATATAAAGTATTAATAGTTTTTTCTAAATAATAGCATGTATCGCAATAGAAGCATAAGCAGATTTCCAATGTCATTCAATTTATACAGTGAACGACAGAACCCCCAAAAAAATCTTTCACATAGTATTTCTTATATCGATCAAAGGTTTTGTAAATCTCTCCTCTCTAAAAATATGAACAAACCCCTCATGATGTAATTTGTTCATAGAGAGTAAATGATCTAGAAGGATACCCTATTAGGACTTAACAATTCATAAAATTCATATAGCTGAACGACAAAAAAATCCATTCTTTTAATAAACTTACTCCCAGCAAATTCTTGATTATTTGATTTTTTATTATAGCATATTGATAGCTTATAGCATTGCTTTTATTAATTTAAATACAATTTATAGCACAATAATATATGCTACATCCGACTTACAAATTTCACTAATAACTTAAAATCAATTTACGGACGTTTTTACATTGACCTACATTAAAAACAAATTTTGGTCATTTCCACCCAAACTAAGTTCATTTATCATTTTTCTGTTATTTTTCGTCAGTTGCAAAGTGGATATTTATTATTTTTAAACACTATTTATTGATTAAAAAAACTTAGAATAATAAAAAGATGACTAAATTTGATAATTTTGAAAATTTTCACTGTTAAAAGCAAAGCGAAAAACAGTAAAGGTCATTTTTTTTCTACATTTGCATGGGAAATATCGCGATCGTGATTGTGCATTTGTACTCTTCGGATTAAATAGAAATGTTTTAAAAAGGGCAACATTCGATTTTTCATAAATTCAACGTGTTGTATTTTTCATCGGACACGCGTCAACCGAGATACCAAAGATTTATGCTATTTTGAATAATATTTTCACTTATAAATATTTAATTACATTTCTTCATGTTGTACGTGTTTAAATTGGACAGGAATTCGATAGGGAAGTGTTACTTTTTCGGATTTGCAATTCAAAGATTGATCGCAGGGGTCAAAGAAGCGAAAACCTATTGTCTATACTGAACTTCTATAATATTATTTTTTATACGCACACCATAATCATTGTACATTGCCCTAAATTAAATTAAATTCTATATAAATTTTGCGAAGTATAAGTTGAAATAACTAGTTTTTAAAACAAACAATGGGAACAATGTGTGATGTTTAGTGATCTGACAGTTAATGATTAATCGGAGATCGTGAGATGAGCTCTGGTGTGACGTAGGTTTTAGAAAAACAATTTCTTTATCGTGCCAACGTTTCGGTCTTTATTGAGATCATCTTCAGTCTCAAAGTGTTGAGTGTGCCAAGTCTCAACACGACACACAAGAATGTCATATCTACACGGAAAATAAACACTTTGAGCTCTGAAGATGATCTCAATAAAGATCGAAACGTTGGCACGAAAAGTAAATGTTTTTCTAAAACCTACGTCACACAAGACCGCATCTCACGATCTCCGAATAATGGGAACAATACTGAAGGGGCGTAAAAACCATTATAAAGCTGGTATAAATTCGCGTCAATACTGAGCATGAAATTGTCTCCATTGTCTCTACTGAACTTTTGTAATATTCCTTTTAACGTGCACCATTATTATTTTACATTTTGCCAAAAGAAATTTAAAATCCATACGAATTTTGTAACTTATTCGCTGAAATAAATAATTTGTAAAAGCAAGCAATACTGATATTTCAGATGTAAAAACTGGTGGGAGAGGAGAAAATATCAGCCTGAAACAGTAACATTCTTCTTCTTTAAATTCAATTTAGTGAATTAGGTATTTTCGATTTGAAACATTATATTCGATTCGTTGAATCTCTTTGAAGTTTCGTTATTTATTTCATTTAAAAGATTTAATTAAAATGTAGTTAATAAAATTTCCTTTTTCTTTTTGTACTAAAATATAAAAAAAATATTATTACCGGATTTGTTGTTTGAACTAGTTCACTTTTTCAAAAAGAAAATCTACTGTAACCAAACTACTAAAATTGCCTGGCAAATTTTTTTTTTTTTGCGAATATTTCCTTGGTGGTTTTCAATAACTAGTTAATAAAATTGAAGAGGACATAACAAAAAACTTCATAACGTTCGATGAATTACGCTGTTAAAAAAAACACACATTTCAAAATTTCTAAATATTGCCAAACAATTAATTAAGATAACAATTATTAAAGATTAAAATGAAAATGTGTAAATAATCCTCGTGATAAATCGCCCATCAAAAAGGTTTGAAGGAGTTTCAAACTATTTCTTTCAAATTAAAAGGACAGCTTTCACCGAGCAAGTTGTGAAAATGGATAAATAAGGACCTTCCAAACAAAAGACAACCGTGTACCCTATCGCGACCAGAAGGAATTTGCTTTTCACCTCGTCTGCCTCTTTACGATAACAATGTTACAAAAAAAAAGTTGATCTCTCAGTCCGGTTCACCAACCTCTTTACGAATTGTTTACAAAGATTTAGCCTTATCTTTCTCTTAATTTAAATGGTTTATTTTTTTATTGTGGGTTATCTTTACGCTTATACTAACAGATTCTCATTTCAGCTTCAATTTTTGGACTTAAATTAAGTTCCTAATTTTCCTTCATTTTTTTCATTAAATTTTCTCTCGTAAATTAAAAAATCAGCGAATCATTAAGGCCCTACAAGATGATGACCTTGTATCATTTCTTATTTGGTAATGAAATATATTTATTTATTATTGGATAATGATAATATTTTAATTGAACGTTAAATTATCAAATTAATTGATTGCTATTTTTGTCGTTATCAGCGCTTATTGTCTGACATTTCTTTTGGTCTCTTGTTCTGTCTGTTGTCGCGGTGGTGGAGTGGTTAGAGCGTCCGAATCTCTATTTTCCACGATAGCGATTCGCGGTTCGAATCTCGGCTTAGCTCATGGATTTTTAATGTAAAATAGTGTTAAAAAAGTATTGTAGAGTGATCTGACCCCCATCGTTCGCGACATAACATCGTTCGATATCGGACGAAAAGCCATCCTCTAAGATAGGAAATCACTAGATTTATGTTAAAATATTATTAAAAGAAAGTTGATTTACTATTCTTGGCTAAACAGAATATGATGTGATCAATTTTAAATTAATTAAACCCTACAAAAATCAACAAATGCCCAAATGTATGAAATAAAATTTATTCCTTTTTTTTAACTGCCCTGTCTTTTTTTATGAAAAAATTTCAGTATCACAAGTAAGGAAAACCTTAGTAACTGAAACTATTATATAAATTCTATTTATTTTCGTAACGAATTTAGGCCCATTTAATATTTTTTGGAATAGTAAATTATTCACTAATTTTGTACCAGAATCACGTGATCCTTGCCAGTGCCACGAGCGGGATTCGAACCCACGATCTTCCGCTGAATATGCCGCTGCTGTCAAGGTAGCTCAAGTGGTTAGAGCAGCGGCGAATTGAGCCGAAGGTCGTGGGTTCGAATCCCGCTCGTGGCAATAGCTTTTTCATTTTAACCAAAACCTTACATAAAAAGATTAATTAATTGAAATTTTTATTACAATATTGTAGTTATTTAATCTACGCACACTACAACTACTACAAATAACAATAACAATGGGAAAGGCAATCAACAACAAAATATAATCAAAAGTTATAAAGTGTTGAGAAACCACCCACTAGTGCCTCACAAGGCTCAGTTCTGGGGCCAACCTTGTTGAACATTTTTATACGTGCACTCCATTGGCTTGGCTGTCGAATTGCGCTAAACAATACTGTTATTGCACTGTCTATAGCAAACTAAATCGTAATCTCCACAGGATTACTGAATTTTGTCATTGATGGAAAAAGCAGAGGCAATACTACTTATCAAAAAAATGTACTCTCCTTAGAGTTAACATAAAAATTGGAATGTCAAATGTTATTTGGGTTAATAGCTAGGGTAAATAACCTGATCAGAAATTTAACTTCGGTTCGCAAACAGTATAAAAAAGGAAAGTGTTTAAAGAATCAAGACACTTCCTTTTTCCCGTAGGGAGTCAGGAATGAACCAGAAAAATAAGCTAGAAATTTATAAAAATACTTACCTTTTCATATGCCTGGACTGGAACCATTCCCTTTCTAGTTTCGCCTGTCCAAACTTCCAGTATAGCGGGAAAAAAATAGGGGCTTAACTGTTTCAAATGGCAAGATACTAATCAATGCACATTTTAAAAGGTTTTTGGCCCCCAATTCAACGGCGTGAATGGCTTATTGTTTTGGGCAACCTTTTCAGGTTATTTGCAAAAAAAATATTTTTCCGAACATTTTTTTGTCAAATAAACGATATCTTTTCTAACTTCTTCAACCAAGAACAAATTTATTAATTTATCATTTTAATTTATGGTAATTTAAATTACCATGGTTCATTCATAATGAAACACGCCCTGTATGAACTCATTAAAGCGAGATTCAACTTGGTGC